CGTTGTCACCCCCCCCCCCGCCCTTGTGAATGAGCAAAGGGTTGTTGTTACCCCTACTCTTTCACCAAAATAGTACACCAAAAAGTAAATAAACAAACCACACCTTGAACAAGTCCTTTATTTGAACAAAAAACAAAAGCAAGTTTTATTGTCCAACAATGTAAACCAAAGGTCAATCACATTGTCCAGCAATTGTAGATCCTCATCGATCATAATGAAGGACGCTCACCAAAATAATAGTCGCGCTACCGCCAAACACTCCGCTCATTTGTTTTCATTACATGCCAACTCTCTGTCCTCAAATGGCATGTAAACAAATGGGCGGAGCGAGTCCGGTGACGTCACAACTCGCCCCTCCCATTTGTTTACATTCGGCCCTGATCTGTCATTTTGCAGGTGTTCTGCGGCAGCAGACGGGTCAGCGGGTGGCAGGATTTTTTTTATTTTGGCGATCTAAAGGGTCTGGTATGAATTTGTAGGGGAACCCCACTTTTTTTTAAATATATTGCGGATCCCCCCCTAACATTCCAGCCAGACCTGAAGGGTCTGGTATGACTTGGGAGGGGAACCCCACGTTACTGTTTTTTTCATTCTATTTTTTAACATCGCAGGGATTCGGTCCGCTTCGGCGGACCATTTTCCCCCGCTTCGGCTGTTTGGCTCTGCCGAGCCGAAGCATGTTCGTTCGGCTCGGCTGTTGGCTACCTTCAAACAGTGTTATTCTCAACAGCACGTGCAGCAGCAGCAGGGTTCCAAACATTCGGCTAAATCCTTTGGCTATTAAGTGAATAACCCTCTATAGTTTTGCCATAAAAACATTACAAAAGCATGTAGAAGGATTGGCACATTTATCAAAAGCTATGTCATACGTTTGCTTTACCACGATTGATGTGTTTGTCTGTCTTTATTATGCTTATTATTTATTGATATATAAAGCACGATTTTTACAGAAATATCTCTGGTCTCTACATATAAATTTAGAAATGTATCTTTCTCATCTACTACATGCTACAATATCAGGTGAATAAACACTGTTAAAGCTCATAAGACTGCTACTATAAAGACCCTCCTGTGGCTGACTTCACACCTATATGTTGCAGTAATGTGGGTAAAACAAAACGCTTGATAACATGCAAAATACCACGCCTAAATGCACGTGCAGTAACACCCTGCAGCTGTCATCAAAAGGTGTGAAGGGGGGCTTACTGTCATATCAGAGAGATATGCCAAGAACAGCATCCTTACACTTCAAAGACGTCTTTAAGGGCTCTTGGGTATGTTATCATGCATCTTGCAAATTTCTCTAATATAGACAATTAGCATGAGGCGGAGAAAATTCTGTGTTTGAAGTAAGGTCTATTGTGGGTGCGGTTTCCTATTTAATTTGATTGAATGGCAACTTTGAAAAATTAATTGAATTTAAGAATGCACTCTTGGCAGTGGGGAACCCTGCCTGTGCTGTCAAAAAGAGATATATAGTGTATATATATTAATTTTATTAATTTTTTATATGTGTAATTTAAAGCTGTATTTTTGCAGTTCCAGTAAATGTAATCATCAAAAATCTCCATACTTCCACTTCCCAAGTACTTTGCAGAACTGTCAGTAATTTTGGGTGGGTCTATGTTTTGCTCAGTTGACATGGTTTCCAATGGCTTATGTGCCCCTGAGTGTAAATAGAAATGCTTATGTCGCAGGTTGGCTTTTGGAGTTAAAATAAGTACTAAACCATTGTGTACCCTTGTCTGTAAAGGTTAATATTTATGCAGACCACGATATAGCTAGAAGTAGTTAGTCACATTCAGCTGGAGTTGTTATGTAATATTTAAGATATTTCAGAGCTTCTTCAAGCCACTTCTTCAGTGCCAATGAGTATCAGGAAGATACCACAGCATCTACAGCCTCACTGGTAGCTTGGACACCTTAATCCAATCACCATGGAATGTGTCAAGGGAAATGTTGATTGTCCAAGAACGGAATGGGAGGTGTGAAAGTTGCATAATCCCATCCTTTGTGTCAGTGACTCTGTGTAGGTATTAATGCTTTGATTCACAATGCTGAAGGTGTGAACTATTGTCAGAGGATAGAAATTTTAAGCTGGCCTTATCATTGTCAGGGTATTTCTATATAAAATTACAAAAACTGATGACTTGTACAGAAACTAAATCAAACTTTTCTGTGCAACAGGCCAGAAGTCTGTGCTGGACAGATAAATTAATCAACCAAAATAGCCTATTGTGTACAAATTAAGCAAGACACAAACAATACAGGGGAGACCCTTTAGGCACCAGCTTTTGTTCAACCAAACTGATTCAAAGAGGTAAAACATTGCAAATGAAGTCTAAGGATTAGATAATCATAAAACCACAATTGACAATACTGAGAGCTGAACCGATCAATTGGAAGAAAGTAAAAAGTGGTTGGGGAGTCGCCAATACGAACAATGCTTTCAAACCATATAAAATACCAAGAGAAAAGAAGAAATGGAGGAAGAAGTGAGGAGGAGAAGGAGGAGTCTGAAGAAAACTTCCTGGATGTAACAAAAGGACTGTCACTCATTGACCATCGCTAAGACTTAACCCTTGCTGCCTAAAACGAGCCATCATCTCATCCAATAAGACTCTGAACATTTTCTTTTGAAGGATTGGTGAGATATTGATCATATATGAAGAATTAACTTTCTTTACTCCAAAATCATAGCGGTTACATTTTATTATTAGTGTTTGTGTTTACAATTCTAATTACCAGTGTGCAGGGTGAATTCTTCTGATAATTTTTCATATCTTTCTCTATTTTATTCCTGAGATTGTGTATTGTTAAATTGGGTACAAAATTGTATGTAACTAGTTGCTATTGTAGGTATACTAGCCTGTTTTGCTTGTTGTCCCTATTAGACTAGTAAACCTATTATCTTCAGAAATCGTTAGGATCACAAGGGAATTTTTACTTTTGAGATACGTCTCTTTCTTTCCTATTGCCACGGGAAGTAAGAAACAATCTTAAAAGTGTCTAGGTATTTTTATTTTTCTGATAATTTATTTCCATTTATTTCTCTGATTGGGTATTTGAATTGTAATCACCAGTAATTTATGTTTTGTACAGAAATATATGATTATACTCATATATTAATACATTATTTTGGTTTATTAGTGTAATTGGGAGATATTTATATATTGTGGTAAGAAATCACCATAAGCTCAAAGAACTCTGGAATTGGTTTGGGGTGTATTATCAAGTGTCTGAACTGAATTCATACTGTTTGTTAAGTTATTTATTACTTGCCGTAATCGGCTGGAGGCACTGTCTATTAACTCTAAATATAATTCAGACACCACCCTATTATTAATATTTCACCAAGATTTGATACCACTCAATCACAACATCATGCTTAGATTTTTTAAAGAACTTTCATACAAAAGAGCTTTCTTTCGACTTTTTATTAGTTGATGGGGTCAAATCGA